GCGTGGAATTTTCAAGTTGTCAGAGAGATGACAAAAGGTCTTCGAACAAAATGGAAAATACATTACAGATTAAACTTCGTTCCAAGTAAAAAAAAAATTTTCATTTCATTGAACAAATCGGCAATTACTTAGTTGTCAACCCAATATTTTCGTCGAAACAATCGTGCCTATTCTTCCAATGTTTCCTGTCAGATTTTACGGTTTTATCGATTTCTGCCGCGTGTATGGGCGGCATTGGACCGTTAAGGGTTAATTAACGCCTAACCCGTTCGAAAATAGGATTTATTAACTCAACCCTTGTACGCTTCGTGTGGCAGGCGTGTTATTATTTGATGGCTCGTACTCGCGAACGTGCGAACACGTCGTCGAAATGTCTCGGGAAAGATTTCGCAACGCGTGTGCCTGTCGCCGCGAAAAGAAAAAGGGAAGGGGAGGTAAAAATGCGACCGGTTGAAAAGAGCGGCGGCCACTTTCGAGAAGGAGACGTTCACCCTTTCGGTGTGAAATATTGCCGCTTCTTCCGGTTTGATCGTCGAAATTCGTGGCCTCTTCGGACCTTCTCCGCGACGCGAAAGTTTCTTCGTTCTCTTGCGATAATTCGGTTACGAAAATTCGCAATTGTAAAGTATCGCGACGGTAACGGTGCCGAACGAGCGAACGCGGTTCTGAGTTTCAAATTGAATTTCAAATCGCTTCTTAATTTTTTTATTAGTGTTAGCATTAACTCGGTTATGATTGTTTCAATCACGACGGTTTCCGTTTCGAAGTCGATTTTAAATCGAGATCGAATTCGTCGTTCGAATATTCAAGTATTATTTACACACAGAGAAGATAAGATTCATTGGCTTGAAAGTACTTCGAGTATTTTTATAAATTTGTATTGTTTAAGCGATACCGAGCGACGCATCGCACTGCAGGGCGTGTTATTATAATATATATAATATATATTAATTAATTTTATTATAATTAATATATTAATATATTATAATTATATATAAAATATTATATATTATATTAATATAATATAATATAATATATAACATTATATAATGTATATTTACTATGTATATATAGTAAATAATATTTATATTAATTATATAATATTATATATTATATTATATTAATATAATATATAATATTTTATATATAATTATAATATATATATAATGAGGGCGTGTAATTTGATAGCGGCGCGGTTGGTAATTCTCGACGAAAGAACATATCGGTCGAAGATTTTATCTCCGTTCGGGTTTAAACACCTACCATCGAATAAATTATATTATCGAAACAGGTCTCATAATTAAAACTTTACAAAATCCAAGTGAATTCTATCTTTTCACTTTTACGAGTCAATGCATGGTAATCATCATTACAGGTCGGTTGGTTTAGTGTTAACGCATTCGGTGCCCACAATCGACCACTAAAATTCCTACAAAATCAAAGCAATTTAATCAATCGAACCGAAACTAGAAAGTGAAAATTTATCATAGTGGATGATATTAGAACTCCTTCGCATCCGAAATATTCTAGTCAAATGTCAGTTTGTTCGAATATATTACAATGAAAATGAATTTTCAATTGGTTCAAAAGTTAGTGTCACCCATATTCGACCGACATGGCGCTGAACTTGTTAATAAAGTTCTTAATGCTGAACCTACCGAGGGGTCTAAGAGCGAGTAGCAAAAATTGCCTGATCAGAGTCACCAAGATATTTTAATTATATTATTATATTATATATATATTATATTATTATATTATTATTATATATATTATTATATTATTATTATATATATTATTATATTATTATTATATATATTATTATATTATTATTATATATATTATTATATTATATTATATATATTATTATTAATTATATTATTATAAGAATTTATTCAAATTTGTTTACAATTTTTATAATAGCGCGTGTCCGGGCTAAGAAGTGTGTTCGATAATTTTTAATGGAAGCAACTTTATGCGACTCCAATAATTATGAAATAGAAAATTATTTGTCCGACGGTGGTAGGTTCAGCGTTAATTAAAGAAGATAAAAAAGAATACGTACGGCTGTTCTTGGGACACCGTGTTTGCAGATGGGAATTTACATAAATATGCGCGATCTGATCATAACATTTAATTAAGTGTACCATAGAACGTAACAGGAAGTCGCATAAAAGAAAGAGTTATGTAAAAACAAGAAACGTTCCCAACGAGATTCCAGCGCTGTGATCTCTAAGGATAGCAGTTACAGATACGGTTTGTGCGACTGTAATTTTTTTTCTTTTAACGAAATTCTATGACGAAAGTATGCGGGGTGGGCTCTTGCCTGAAGAGAAATCGTGTTGGTGTTTCGCGCACCGTAAATAGTCGAACGTGAAGTTATCAGATTGCTAGAAAGAAAAAAAAAAAAGCAATGATGTCACCACAAAGTAGAAAAATGTTTACCGCAATACAGGCACAATTTGTAATTTCAATTTCAATCATCTATGACGATAATTTCATGATGCTCGGACGTTCACACGGCCGCCATCTTGAACGATGATGCAGTAACAACGACGCGCGAGGAATTTTTTAACGACGCTCGAAATGTACTTGTGCTTCGGGAAATTATTTTTACGTTAAACAAACGAACGATATGTTTTCTTTTTTTACGCCAGTACAGACTACAGTAATGTCTCTCTAATTGACGCACAGGCTGTCCACGAAAATGGACAATTTGGGGAGGAGGAGATACGATTGTTCGAGCCTTGCGGTTCGTTTTTATAGTTACGAATTGTCAACAACTATAAAAACTACAATAAACTAATAACAAATAAAAAACTATAATAAACTACAATAAACAATAAAAACTACTAAAAGCTACAAGGCTCGAATAATCGTGTCTCCTGTTCCCAAATTGTCCATTTTTGTGGATAATCTTAGCGTCAGTTAGGAAGACATTACTGTAGCTTGGACAAGCGCGCGCGCGAATCGATTCATCGAGATGAATCGAAATTTTGACAAGGTTATGTCGAAGTTATGTCATGTCGAGGGGTTCTAAAGTAAAGCGATACTTTAGTCGGATCTTCATCTTAGTTTATTGATTTCCGAGAAAGCCCGCGGTGCAGCAATTACAAAAGTGTATCCTCGCGAAGGCGTCACAAATTTTCGAACAATTTCATTTCCATTTTTCTGATACCATAACCTAATCGATCGAGTTTTATGTTTCACCGTAAGCCTCGTTGCCCCTGTCGCGAGTTTCTGAACGATGTCTTAACAATTCCGAGCGACGAAGTTCGCCGAATTGAATTTTATCGTCGGCTAATTGCAATAAGAAAACTTCTTAATCAACGAAACCGGCCGGTTAATTGGGCCTTAATTTAACCAGCGGAGCCAGTAAAATTCCGTAAAAAAAACGATCATTGAAATAGGATCGAAGAAACGTCGACCGTAATGTTCGAATAATTCCCAGATTAATTAGCAGAAGATTCTGCTAAAATATAAACGGTCGATTGCATCCTACTTCAGCACTTGGCCAACCGAACGGGGAGATCTCCCCGTTTTAAATTCAGTCGATTGACGACCGAATGGATGATTAATGAAAAATTCAAAATGACAGCTTAATTTTATTAAGATTTGCAAGAGATACGAACGCTGAAGAAGCAATCGATGCCATATAAGTTTGCTTCATAATGTTTGTTCAATCGAATGAAATATTTTAATTTTATATGAAAATTTTTGAGGTTTCTTCTCCCTCTTTTGAGGTTAACGATCCTGTCGATGCAATTACTAGACTACCATCTCTCTGCCAAATAAAATATCTCAACGTCAATCGCAAGAAACCGAGGTTATGTATGTCTTCGTCGAAAATATTCTCCGTTGAAAATATCAAAAATAATATACGAGGGTACACTTAAATTCTTTTCAAGGTCCTTCATAGGTTTCTATTCGACCTACTCGGCCGAGCGAGTGCACAGAATCCACAGTCCAGCAATTACTGCAAAGGGGAGCTTATCGCGGATAATTAGCGCGGTTCAGCTTAACCTAGAACCGGAGATCGGCCGATCGTCGACGAGCGTTTCCGACATGAACGGTTCCATTGAAAGTATCAAAAATAATACGAGAGTACACTTAAATTCTTTTCAAGGTCCTTTATAAGTTTTCTATTCGACCTACTCGGCCGAGCGAGTGCACAGAATCCACAGTCCAGCAATTACTGCAAAGGGAAGCTTATCGCGGATAATTAGCGCGGTTCGGCTTAACCTAGAACCGGAGATCGGCCAATCGTCGACGAGCGTTTCCGACATGAACGGTTCCATTGAAAGTATCAAAAATAATACGAGAGTACACTTAAATTCTTTTCAAGGTCCTTTATAAGTTTTCTATTCAACCTACTCGGCCGAGCGAGTGCACAGAATCCACAGTCCAGCAATTACTGCAAAGGGGAGCTTATCGCGGATAATTAGCGCGGTTCAGCTTAACCTAGAACCGGAGATCGGCCGATCGTCGACGAGCGTTTCCGACATGAACGGTTCCATTGAAAGTATCAAAAATAATACGAGAGTACACTTAAATTCTTTTCAAGGTCCTTTATAAGTTTTCTATTCGACCTACTCGGCCGAGCGAGTGCACAGAATCCACAGTCCAGCAATTACTGCAAAGGGGAGCTTATCGCGGATAATTAGCGCGGTTCGGCTTAACCTAGAACCGGAGATCGGCCAATCGTCGACGAGCGTTTCCGACATGAACGGTTCCATTGAAAGTATCAAAAATAATACGAGAGTACACTTAAATTCTTTTCAAGGTCCTTTATAAGTTTTCTATTCAACCTACTCGGTCGAGCGAGTGCACAGAATCCACAGTCCAGCAATTACTGCAAAGGGGAGCTTATCGCGGATAATTAGCGCGGTTCGGCTTAACCTAGAACCGGAGATCGGCCGATCGTCGACGAGCGTTTCCGACACGAACGGTGGTCGCGTGCGCGCGCGGGCTAATCGAGTCTCCGGGAAATTTCTCTTTCTTACCCGATGATTCTGATCATCGTCGTCCCTCGGAACGAGCTCGCCGATTGGCTCGGCCCGAGCGGATCTATCGCGCGGCCGGTCAAACGTGAAAAGCATCAGCAAGAGCGGACAGAATATCTTCCACATCGTTGCAGTGCGACCGAAACACGGACAGTTCTTCGTCCCCGATGCACCAAGAGATCTGCCGAGCCGCCGCCTCCTCCTCCTCCTCCCCCGCGTCCAGATAATCCTCGAGCTCCTGGCCGTTGCCGCTCTGTCCCACCGTGAACAGATGCACGTACAGCGCCACCGCGCACAGTATAACGAAGATCACGTTCTTCCTGTTGCACAGGCCGAAGATTTCCTCAGGGTTCATGCAGAACAGCTCTTCTTGTCCCTTCGCGTGTCTCAATTGCGAACGGACGCCGCGGCGACGGCGGCGGCGGTGGCTCCCCGACGCGGCTCGTTTCCGCTCGCGACGACGAGCGGACTTCCCACGGGCCTTCCAGTCGCTTCGAGGCGAATTAATTGTTCGTTAATCCGGGCTTACCGAACGCGGCGTTCGCGACGACTTTTCAAAACCGGGATACAGACGGATACAGAAATCACGCACGAAGGAACACACAGCGATACGAAAACGATTCTCTTTCTTTGGATTTCGAACGGGATCCTTTTCCGAGATCCGAGAACCGATACGATGACTTCGAAGAAGTCGCCTAGTATCTTCCGCCGATCGAGGCAGCAGAGGTTAGCATTATTTCTCTGGGATAATTAGGCTCTTCGTATCCTCGAAGTACACGGAAAATCGTCTTGTAATTCGTTCGCTTAGAATTCCGTATATGCGAGAATTTTCAATGCGATAATTTAGAACTCGTTACTTTTCAAACTGTTCGATTTCGAACGCTAGAAATTACAGCGTTTTCGCCGCGCGCGGAATCCTCGGGATCGCGTTGAATCGTGGCGATAGAAAAATCGGCCGATGTTCCGTACGCACCGGCGCCGATCCCATATACACGATCGGCACGGAATTCCTCTTCGGTCGGATCACTAAATCACCGTCGCGCACGAATGCCGTGTTAACATTGTTCTTTTTTGCCGGACGGACGGACGGACGGACTGGCGTGCGCGCGCGCGCGAACAAGCGACTCGTCGATCGCGACTTGCTTTCGATCGGCTTCCCTCGTTACTTTCGAACCGGCAACAACACTCTTCCACGCTCGGCAAAGCGTTCCCGCGAACTGACGGCAGTTTTCTCCGCGCACGGTCCTAAGTAAGTCGGTGAAACTCGAGAGGCTTACCCAGCGGACGCACAGGAGTCTCTCGACTCCTCTCCTCCGCCGGCGAGCGTTCGCACGGACGATCTGCTCTCGCCGCCTGGCAGCGATCGGCCGCCGGATCATCGGCGATGAGTTTCATCGTAACGATCCGCGCGACCGGTGCCCGGTCGGCCGAGATAAGCATCGGTCGCGGATCGGGGGACAGAGGCCGAGAGGAGGAATGAATCGGCCGCGCGATCCGAGAGAGAGGAAGCGGAAGCGAGAACTGCGAACGATCGCGTTTCGCATCGAATCTCTTCCAATTGGAATTATCTCTCTCTTGCACTGTCCATGAAATTTCGAGGAGTATAGTATACTGTAGTACTGTTTACGGTGAGCTGATCCGATTCACAGTACTGAGATATGTCTAAATAATGATAATAATAATATGTCTAATGATATGTCTAAATAATGATAATAATAATATGTCTAATGATATGTCTGAATAATGATAATAATAATATGTATAATGATATGTCTAAATAATGATAATAATTAATCCCTTAACGCACAGTTTTTTTTTTTTAAAACCAGCCAAAAAGAAAATCAATTTTTGGTGGAGAATTTTGATATACCGCGCTTTCGTTCCATGGAAAGAGGCTATATTTTATTCTTGTATAAATAAGTGTTATAGCTTACAATCCTGTGTAAATGATTAATATCAATGAAACGATTGTTTTTCTTTGCTTTCACATTGTTATTTTCAATTCTCGATTATGATTCGAGTGTGAAAAATTATAGCAGCAGAAAATACAAAGCCGCTCGAATTATCGAATTACTGTGCACAGTTTCGCCTGTTTAGCGCGCTCGAATTAACTCGAGCGTACAAGTTAAGGGGTTAAAGAAAAAGGCATTTAAGGTTATATTTTAAAAAAGTTATATTTTAGTTTTCGAAAGTAATGAAATATTACTTTCACTAAATTTTGTACTAGTGCATATTGACGAAAATAAAATAAAATAAATATAAATGAATATAATAACGAAATCTATGTAAATGTAGGAAATAGAATAAAATAATGTGTAAATAGAACAATATAGATAATTAATTCTATATTAATTAATTAATTAATTAATTAATTATAGGATTAATATAGAATAATGAATTATAGAATATTAAATACGAATAATGAATAATTGTTATTCGAACAAAATATTCGATTAAAAAGGATAAAATAATATGAAAATAGAACAATATAGACATAGAATAATTAATCCTATATTAATTAATTAATTAATTATTATAGGATTAATATAGAATAATGAATTATAGAATATTAAATACGAATAATGAATAATTGTTATTCGAACAAAATATTCGATTAAAAAGGATAAAATAATATGAAAATAGAACAATATAGACATAGAATAATTAATCCTATATTAATTAATTAATTAATTAATATAGGATTAATATACAACAATGAACCATAGAATATTGAATACGGATAACGAATAATCATTATCCGAACAAAATATTCGATTAAAAAGTATTCATTCGAGCGAGATCATTTTAGATAAACATTTATTCGAAACAATTCGAATAATGCCCGACTCTCCGGTACGCAGGAATATAAAAAGCAGAAATGAAACTCGATTCTCTAGTTGAGAAATAGGAAAAATATGAGGAGAACTGGTATAGAAAAATTTCGAGAGGCCTGTTGACACTCGCTGTTTCACAATAATGACACGGTGTTCCTCGGAAACGTTTTCTCACACCGGTAACATATACGTCCAAGAAACAAATGAACTTTCACGGTTAAATTAATGGCTTTCTTATAGAAATTTAGCGTATTGTGCTCGTGGCAAAATACGGCGAGCACGGAAAGCGGTTTCTGTACACTGAATTTCCAATTTTCGACGAATCGACGATATTTTTAGATCGTTCACTATTGAACCGAGAAACTAAACATATTTTTAAATAAATTTTTTTTACAATATATAGGATTTATGATAGGATTTACGATGCGGACGGGATTTCGTAACTGCTTTTTTTTTGAGCTCTATAAGCCGTCCCGGCAATTAGAATCATTATCGCATTTGGCGCTATAAATGCGGATTTGAAACCGCCAAATCCGACCCTCGGATTTTCTCCTGGCCATCGTAAACCCCATGGAACGCGAAGTGCGCGGTACGGAACCCAGGACAGACCAGCGGAATTGCTAAAAACCCGAGGCCCCGAACTTTCGGTTTTTTAATTTTAACCTAATGGGGGCGGTGTTTCCAACAAAATCCGCATTGGCTGGTGGGAGTTCCTGTCGCGCTGAAAACTCCGAGGGGTGGGGATTGGAAGTCGGCGTGGAATACGAGCCGCAAGAACTTCACATCAGGAGCAGAATAGAAGCAAAACAGAGACGAAGCTCGGCACGCTTCAAGACGAATCTCCCTCGCAGAGGTCGGATGTAAAATACGGCTCTTGCCGGCCACGGTTGGCGGCCATCTTTCAAGGCTCTTGCCGGCCACTGTTTTGACGGCCATCCATCAAGGCTCTCACAGACCATCGTTGACGGCCATTTTCAATGCACGAGCGTGTTTTTGAAGCGGCAAAATAACGCCGCTACGCTCGGAACAAAATTCACACATTAGAAGTGTACATTAACCCTTTGCACTCGAAGCCATTTTTAACTGTAAATCTAAATTAACTTTTCTGACTTATAGTATTTCCATTTTATATGACAAAGCGTATTTCATGAGCTGAAATCGAGTCTTGTAACTCGTACAATAGTTAGACTTTTAACAATCTTTTTATATCTAAGCTTTGATAATGTAAATATTATTTTGGAACGTGGTGTAACAATTTCAGTGGTGCCTTAGAACCACCACTCGAGTGCAAAGGGTTAATTCATTTAAAGGAAGTAATAGAATAACAATTTTTCTGTAAAATATTAGTTTAGTTTCCTGTAATTATACTAATCGGTGTCACAAAAATCAAGTAAATCGTTCAGTGTTCGGTATTCATTGATTTACAGAAATATCTATGGAAATCAAGCTAATATTTCTATAAAATATTAGTTTAGTTTCCTGTAATTATACTAATCGGTGTCACAAAAATCAAGTAAATCGTTCAGTGTTCGGTATTCATTGATTTACAGAAATATCTATGGAAATCAAGCTAATATTTCTATAAAATATTAGTTTAGTTTCCTGTAATTATACTAATCGGTGTCACAAAAATCAAGTAAATCGTTCAGTGTTCGGTATTCATTGATTTACAGAAATATCTATGGAAATCAAGCTAATATTTCTATAAAATATTAGTTTAGTTTTCTGTAATTATACTAATCTGTGTCACAAAAATCAAGTAAACCGTCCAGTGTGCGATATTCATTGATTTCCAGCAATATCTATGGAAATCAAAGTAATATTTCTATAAAATATTAGTTTAGTTTCCTGTAATTATACTAATCGGTGTCACAAAAATCAAGTAAACCGTCCAGTGTGCGATATTCATTGATTTCCAGCAATATCTATGGAAATCAAAGTAATATTTCTATAAAATATTAGTTTAGTTTCCTGTAATTATACTAATCTGTGTCACAAAAATCAAGTAAACCGTCCAGTGTGCGATATTCATTGATTTCCAGCAATATCTATGGAAATCAAAGTAATATTTCTATAAAATATTAGTTTAGTTTCCTGTAATTATACAAATCGGTGTCACAAAAATCAAGTAAATCGTCCAGTGTTCGGTATTTATTGATTTCCAGAAATATCTATGGAAATCAAAGTGATATTTCTATAAAATATTAGTTTAGTTTCCTGTAATTATACTAATCTGTGTCACAAAAATCAAGTAAATCGTTCAGTGTTCGGTATTCATTGATTTCCAGGAATATCTCCTTGCACTAATTGCAATTGGTTATTGAGAATCGGTGTCATCTCGATTATACACGGACAATAAATATTGCTTGCGCACAGGAATTGCGATATATTTTGCCAATGATAATTGAACGACAACGCGTGCCTGAAACTTCAAACTAATTAACATATTTGTCTTGGACACGAAGTATCGTTAAAATTTCGTTATTATTCCGCATCGACAATGGTCATTTTACGGCGGTTCGATCGAGAAGCGTGTATAAGCCTATTTCGCCGTCAGCAATCAGCAAATAAGTGGACAAACGATCTCTGAATTGTTGCGCCGCGAATGCAAGCAATAAAAGTGAAACTCCGGTATAGTTTTCTGCGATGTTATTCACCGAATAGGGTTCTCGGGTTATGTTTCCAATCTGAAAACGTTTCTAAAGATCTGGAGAAAGTATCAATACTTCAATGTTTTCTCTGCAACGTCTGTGTTTCTTTTCTTTTTTTTTTCTTTTTTTTCTTCGGCCCGTCTCCGTTCTTCCATCGATTAACGAGATAAAAAAGAAGAAAAGTAAAACGCGCGTTCCTTGTCGAATTCGATTAAACCGCGCATTTAGACTCGTTCGCTGGAATTTCTTTTTCTGGCACAGGTGAACGAGCTTCGCGAGAACAATCGTCGTACGAGCAGTTTTATCGGTACATACATATTTAGCAAGCATTACCGCACGATGCAGATTATGAAATTGAAACGAGAACGGAACGGAGATATTGCTATTAACGGTTTACGTGTGACGTAACATATGAATTCGATCGATCCACCGTTTTGCGAATAAAACGCTGACTGCTTAAACCATTGACTGGCACGCAAATTTAGCGCGTCTTGCCCTGGGTGCCACGGTTTTATTTGAAAGAAAACATAATATTATATATAATAATATATATTATTATGTTTATAATATATAAAACATAATATATAAAACATAAAAATATGTTTCAAGTTTTAAAATATGTTAAGTTACTGATATAATATTGCAATGGCATTCACAGTATTTTTATCGAAAAAAAATCAATATGTTCTCTACACTATAGTGTGTCCCAAAAATGTCTCACAATCCGAAAGTGGCGGGTTCCTCGGGTCATTCGAAGCAACTTTTTCTTTTACAAAAATTATCTCCGAGGCATCGTTAACGAGTTATCAACGAAAAACAGTGACCAATGAG